GCTGCTCGCGTTGGTAAAGACGGAGCCTCGAGGGGGTGGTCGCGAGGGCACGGGTCGCCCAGTTTCTAGAGGCGGGGGAATCTTTTCAAATCTCCCGTTTCCTCCTTCCATTCCCGCGCTGCAGTCGGGTCGGCGTGCAGTTAGCACCTGCCCAGGTATATGGTATTAACAACTTCTGCCTCTCATTCACTTTCTTTTTGGGCGACTTTCCAGCCTCCCCTTGCCCTAAATGCAGCTGAAACGGTAGTTTTTGAACTTGAGCGGGCTGAAGCACCGTCTGGAGGTGTGGCTAAAAACATGTTCATCCTGGCCCCGCCTCCAGAGTTTGAATCTAGGGCTGGGGTGGGGCTAAGGCTTCTGCTTTACCTGGCCCTGGATTACCCCGCTGCTTTCCGGGAGCTATAGCGCATTGGGCTGCCGGGCCGCCCCGGAGACCCTCTAAATTAGAAGCAGCTGCCACTCTAAATTAAACTGGCCTTTTTGACATTTTCTCCGTGCTAGCTTTTTCGGGTGGGATGGGATGGAGCATCGGATGTCTACCATAGGTGTAGATTGAAGATGGCAGGAAATTTCTCATTTCCTTAGTTTGCTGAAAAGACTATGTCTGGTGTTCCAGCTGTTTATTGTTTTCCTTCCTGCTGTCACACTATGGGAGCCCTCTCAGGGTTTTCATTCCGTCCAGAGGCATTTTCATGAGAGTCACTTCTTGCTTTTTTTCGTGTAGCACTTTCTAGTATACAAACCAAGAAGGTTTGTAAAACCCAAGAAAAGCTTTGTCTCATTTTCATTTCTTCTGAAAAGCATTTTTATTGAGCACTTGCTGTGTGTACAGGTAAGTATTTCTGTATGAAGATCACTGGCAGGTTTTTTGTTATTTGTAGCTGTCAAAAGCATATATTCTTTTTGGACTTTTTTCCCCTTTTAGTTGCATAAAGTTTTTTTTTTTTTTTTTTTTTTTGAGACGGAGTCTTGCTCTGTCGCTCAGGCTGGAGTGCAGTGGCAGGATCTTGGCTCACTACAAACTCCGCCTCCCAGATTCATGCCGTCCTCCTGCCTCACCCTCACGAGTAGCTGGGACTACAGGCGCCGGCCACCACGCCCGGCTATTTTTTTTATTTTTAGTAGAGATGGGGTGTCACCGTGTTAGCCAGGATGGTCTCCATCTCCTGACCTCGTGATCCGCCCACCTCGGCCTCCCAGGTGCTGGGATTACAGGCGTGAGCCACCGTGCCTGACCGAAATTTTTCTTTAAAAATGAAAAAGACTTAACTGTCAGAGTTTTGCACTTATATTTTCTTTTACGAAAACTTTTAATATCTGTGACAAAATGACATTGCACTTCTTAGAAGAGTGACACTTTTGCTAGAGTGAGTACATGAAGACATTGAGTTGTGTGTTTTCCTGTAGCACATGGGTCATCTGAGAATAGGAAATTTAAAACTGGCACTGCTAGTTGCAATAACAGAAGCATTATAGTTCACATTTTAATAGTCCAACGAAAGTTAGACATTCCATTGGCACATATCTGTATGGAAGCATAGGGCTTCACTTAGACTGTAAAGTCAGAATGCCTGAGTTCAAGTTCTAGCTTTGACACTATTGAGTAGGCCAAGTTATTCATCTCTCTGAGCTTCATTTTCTGCATATAAGTAATACTAATTAGCTTTTCTTGTGAGGGTTCATTAATAATCATAAATTTATTGAGCACCCATGAAGTGCCAGACCCTATTCTGGGTATTGGGGATTTGATAGTGAACAAAGCAGACAATAAATTCCAGCCCTTAGGGAGCTTATATGGAAGACACTAAATGAAATTTTACCTGTGTGTAAAGTGTTGAGTTTGGTGGTTGTGATAGAATAAATGATAAATAATGGGTGTCTTCATCTAAAAGAATGTGATGTTTGCTAGCTACATGATTTGGGAGAGTCAAAATAGATAATATATATCAATATATGTTGTCCTGAAAAATAACAAAGCCAGTTTCACTTTTTATCCCCTACCAAATATTTTTCTAGTTTCTAACTGAAGTGGGTGGACAGTAAGAGCCAAAGGAGTGTAAGTAGACATCAGTAACTAGGCCCAGACTTGTAGCATGGCTCACCCATTTGTCTGGAGAATGCTATTGAATGCCATTGATTTTTTTTTTTTTTTTAAATTTGTATCCAAACCTCTATGGATGAATTAAATCTTAACTCTTCGAATGCATGTTTCGTAGGGATCTGCAAATTTTTTCAGTAAAGGGTCAGATAATTAATATTTTAGGCCTTGCTGCCCACAAATAGTTTTTGTTCTTATTTATTTTTACTTCCCTTTAAAATGTAAAAACCATTCTTTCCTTAAGGGGTGTACAAAAACAGGCTGCTGGCTTGGTTTGGCCCACAGGTAATAGTTGCTAAACTGTCAACAAAGTTTTAATAAACTTAACATCTTAAGTTTAAAAATCCTTTTTGGTGTACAATTTTATACCACATGGGCTGCCTTATTTTTTTTTTTGGACAAAGTTTCACTCTGTCACCCAGGCCAGAGTGCAGTGGCATTATTTCAGCTCACTGCAACCTCCGTCCCCTGGGTTCAAGCAATTCTCTTGCCTTAGCCTCCTGAGTAGCTGGGACTACAGGTGCATGCCACCATGCCCAGCTAATTTTTGTGTTTTTACTGGAGATGGGATTTCACCACATTGGCCAGGCTGGTCTCAAACTCCTGACCTCAAGTGATCTGCCTACTTCTGCCTCCCAAAGTGCTGGGATTACAGGCTTGGGCCACCATGCCTGGCCTTTACATGGGCTTTAATATTTAGAAATGATTTTGCTTTCCTCTGTAGATGTCTCTGCAACTTTGGCACTATCTTTAGTAAAAAAAAACATGGCCAGCTGCACCTTACTCAAGGAGGAAAAACATTCTTCCTACCTCTGCCTTTGCCCTGGTAGCCACCTGACAGTGCCAGCAAGGAGCAACTGAGAATGGTCTGCTTCTTATATTTGCTACCCTCCATTCAAAGCAGTGTCATATTATTTGAAATTGTGTCAGTATGTCCTTTTACAGAGTTTCAGAGTTCTACCCAGTGGGCTAGTGATTACCCCGATTACCCTCACATTCAGCTTGCAGCTGTCATCTGTCTTGTGTTGCTCATGGATCTGTTTTGCAGCCGGCATTACTTGCTGGTGAGGGTGGATTTGTACATAACCGGGCATCCTTTCTTGACCTTTAGCATGAATATGGCTTCAAGGTGAAGCTGATGAAAGTGTTCAAGAGGCCAGATGTGACATTTGTATTAGGACCAAGCCTCACAACCAGATAGAAGCTATTTAAGGATTTGGAAAAATGAGACAGGAAGACCATATTATTTGAGAGGCTGGCAGAAAGCACAATAATAATGTGTTCCTAAAGGAAGCAGGAAATGATAATAGGAGCTACAGTGTAGAAGCCCCAGGTGTCATTTAACACTGTTTTGTGAATTAATAGGTACCTCTTGGCATATTTTTTAGGGTGAGAGTGGGATTAGACATCTTTGACAATCGTAACTTGGGCCATTTTAATCAACTTTTAATGAAAAGTTAGAATCTTTTAACCTTTATGATAGGTGTGTGTATATATATATATTTTTTTTTTTTCTGAATTCATATTTAAGAGGTGATCAAGCTTAATTTTGTATTCTCTTATACTTTAAGGCAGCATGATGTACATGTTAAGAGCGTGGATCTGGAGTCATATTCCCTGGGTTCAAATCCTGGCTCCGTTATTTAGGTTATTTTATCTTTTTATGCTTCCTTTTCTTCATCTGCAAAAAATGAGTTGATATTCATAAGATACCTTGAGCAGTGTCTGTTATTACTAAATGCTATATGAATATTTGTAAAATAAAGGATAGGTTTTCTGACTCCAGGTTCAGCTTTTGCCTTTCATCATGAGTTTTGAATGTTCAGAGGCATTCTCACAGCGCAGTGATCCCCAAATGGAATGACTTCTCTGTGGCACTGGTTATTCATTAGAATAACAGGAAATCACTGAGACACTGCATAAGGGGTGGTAAGGTGATGCATATTCTACTTGAGTGTATGCTTAATTGTAAAATATATACAAGTTTAGGGAAAATTGTGCAGATCGACATGGTGCTGAGAAGAGTACTTGGGTGGGGCCAGTGGAAGGAAGCTTCGTAGGCTTTTAAATTGAGATATGAATAGGTTTTCTTTTTTCTGAGACAGAGTTTCCCTCTGTCACCCAGGCTGGAGTGCAGTGGCGTGATCTCGAATCACTGCAACCTCCGCCTCCCGGGTTCAAGTGATTCTCCTGCCTCAGCCTTTGAGAAGCTGGGATTACAGGTGAGCGCCACCACACCTGGCTAATTTTTGTATTTTTAGTAGACACGGGGTTTCACCATGTTGGTTAGGCTGGTCTCAAACTCATGACCTTGTGATCCGCCCTCCCTGGCCTCCCACAGTGCTAGGATTACAGGCGTGAGCCACCACACACAGCTGAGATATGAATAGATTTTTAAAATGGAGCCAGGTTGCGATGGTGGGTGTTATTAGCAAATAACTAGCTATAAAGAATTGTAGGATAAAGGGGGACTGGGTCAGGTAAGCAGAGAGTTAAGACAGGGTCAAATCAGTCATTAATAGCCTAACAACAGAAAACTCAGTTGGTTTACATGGTTAACTTCCTAAAGAGAGCAATTTGTGTAGCTTTCCTGGACTCTGGTTCCTCATCTATAAAATGAGGAAAATGAACTCGTTGATTTGTAAAGTTCTCTCCAGTTTGCAGATTTCATAGTTATTTGTGTCCACTGGATGAAGTTTAACATACATACAGAAAAGGCACAAGTCATTGGTGTTCAGTTTGTATCATATCTTCCAAATTAGAATTTATTTGTGATTTTTATTTATGGAATATTTTGAATGATGTCTGTCTCCTTCAATTATATATTTAGTAAAGCTAGGTTCACGTTTGTAGCCACAGTGCCAGACACATGGTTTCTTAGTGTATGTTAATTAATGTATGAAAGAACTTAGGTT